CAATCGCAAACCGCGACTGGAATCAATTGCGAACGCGATAATGGCTCCGAGACGAGTCGAGCGCATTTCATCACATACACACACACACACACACATACACGCAGTAAACCCCCAACACCTCAACCCTTTCATCCCCTCGTCGCTCATGCCGGGTTTCTTTTGTATGTACAGGTAAAAGTCGTCCCAAAACCGGCGACAAAACAAAGAAACCTCGGTATACGCTAATGCCACACTAACTATTTACAAGAAATTATAAACAAGAGCGCGTGTGTGTGTATATATATATATATATATATAATACCCTCGAGAACGTTAGTCGCTATTCGTAAACGGTATATCGTTATTAAATTCTTAGATATGGTTGTTCCGCGGCACGGAACCCTGGCACACGCGGCTCCGACCTCAGGGTGAAATATTACCATTTTTTTCTTTGAGCCAGCAAGCGAATGAGATCTACACCAAGCATGTGTAACGTATGAATTCTCCTGTGACTTCGTTGACAGGATTCCGAATGTACCCTCGCGAGCAAACTCTGCTTCCAGGGGAAAAAGTGACGTAACAGAAAGGCCTCCTCCATTGCTTGGTGAATTTAACGTACTGCAATAAATGTTAAATCGACTGTTAATTTGGAATACATTTCAGTAACTCCCGAGATCAAGCGGTAAGAGGCCCTTCCCCTACGCCACTTTTTCCCTTAATGGAAGCAGAGTTTGCTCGTGGGTGTACATACCTATACATTCATTCGGTGGAACACGGTTTTCCCGTGAAAATCAATCCAAGTTTCGATGACAATATTCATACACCTAGGATCATACTGTATTGGAATGTGTAGTGAGGGTTGAGGATCTTCAACGGAATCGAAACCACGAAAAACCGTGGAGGCTGGAAAACAAAAAAAAAAACGTGTTTGGATAGTGTTCGGAATGAGGACAGTTTGAAGCTCGATTAAAGTTACAAGAGGTGTTAATCAACACACATCATACGTTACCATCTGTCTAACCATGACAGTTCGAGCCTCGAAGAGGTAAACAGTCTTCAAGTGCAATGCAGAGGGAGCCAGTCTTAAACAAAAACGGCTCGGTCGGAGTATCGTGTGCTCAGACTTCCGACCAGTACGCAGTATAATCCCCTTTACAGTAAAAATATATTATCGCTACGGGTAGTACTTAACTTTGACTAGCATGTGTTTATAGAACCGATTCCCCAATCCTACGGGCACCTACGCACTAGACTTAAACGTACGCGCGGGCAATAATGGTTAAAGCCTCTCTCTCTCTCTCTCTCTCTCTCTCGCCGAAGAACGCGTCCCTCCTCGGCGCGACATGGAAGAGGGAACGTGTTTCGAATTTAGACCGGTCTCTCTGTCGACTGGGAATCATCATCGGTGGCGGTCGAACAGAAAAACACCGCAGGACGTCCTAACCACGCGGCTCCATCCGTCACCTTAATCGTGTATAGAATGTTTACTTGAGAAAGTATGGGGTACAATGTCGGCTTTACCTTAAGATTACATCCTTTCCTCGAGATAAGTACAATCTAATAACCCTCTCTCCAGGGGGGTAGGGGGCGTAAAACGCACGTCTGGGAGTAATTTAAGGTTAACTGAGTGTATCGATACATTATATCTATACCCCCAACACTCGATATATTCACGTTAGTGTCTCGCTTGACTTCAGGTGTCTTCCGTGGTTGCATTTCTCACATAAATCGTTCGTATTTTACGGTTGCTTTTTCGTACCCGCGAGTTCTCGTTTCCTCAGCCAGGATGTCACAGAAGACACGAGGAGTGCACGTTCGACGCGCACGGAAAGTGTAGAAAGTAAAAAAACAGAGCGAAGGGGACCACTTTCGATCCCATAGAGAAAAAATAGAACAGAGGACGATCGAAGTGGGGGCGCTCTAGAGATGAGCAACGCATGAGAAGAAAAAATTATACAAACCCCCTCCCCCCTAGCTCTTTAGATACTCTTCTACGATTTAACCACACCAGCAACTATTATTCTTTTGTTCAGTCTTGTGATAATACTACTTTAATACTTTTCACGATTCGCGCGCAGAGTCCAACCGTTGGGGTAAACGTGTACACCCACGAGCAAACACGGCTTCCGCTAGGGGAAAATGTGGCGGAGAAGAAAAGTCTCATACCACTTGGTAAATTTATTTCAAATACTGAAATAAATGTTAAATCGAATGTTAATTTGGCATAAATTTCAATAATTCCCGATACCAAATTTTAGGAGGCCCTTCCGCTAGGGGAAAAAGTGACGTAAGAAAAAGACCTCCTATCACTTGGTAAATTTATTCCAATTACTGAAATAAATGTTAAATCGAATGTTAATTTGGCATAAATTTCAATAATTCCCGATACCAAATTTTAGGAGGCTCTTCCGCTAGGGGAAAAAGTGACGTAGGAAAAGGACCTTCTATCACTTGGTAAATTTATTCCAATTACTGAAATAAATGTTAAATTGAATATTAATTTGACATACAATTAACATTCAAGTGACAGAAGGTCCTTCCTCTACGTCACTTTTTCCTCCACCGGAAGCCAAGTTTGCTCGCGAGGGTACATACATACACACATGTCTCTGGACCGTGGATCGCATCTGCGAAAGAGCACTGTGCACGGTATATAACACGCGACCGGTTGCATTCGAAACGAACAGCGTGATAGAAAAACGGATATATAAGCGTGTGGCATTGCTACAGCAATATTGAAAGTTCGATTAACGGATCGAGAACACTGGGGGAGTCCAAAGAGTGTCGGACGAATATTCTTATACAGGGCGTTCCAACTGACATGACCGATTGTATTATTTATTTTTTAAAGTTTCTCTGGATATGTGTGTGTGTGGTCACAGAGATTTTTTCTAGATGTTTTCTTTTAATGAAGAATTGAAATTACACGATAACCGATTCGTAAGTGGTTAACACTTTGTCAATCAAATAGTACGTTTTTATATTTCTCCCGAGTAATCTATTATATAATCTCGATTCTTTTGAGAATGTTGAAAATTGTGTAATGCTTGTGAATCACAGTGTTTCGCAAACGATATTTCACGTCATGTCAGTTGAATGGCCCCAGTATATTACAATTGTTCAGTTCCGTTCCGGCTGAGCGAAAACAATTCCTTGCAGTCAGGGAAGCTACGCCAGCTGTATATTGTCGTTAACGAGCGAAAACGATTCCCGTGTAACTTTACATCGTTAATGAACCCCCTTGTTCACGGAACAGCGCGAACGCTCTCGTTGCCGTTGATCTTTTTGATTCTGAATACTGATTTGATTATCCGCTCCGTGGAGCATAATATATATGGAAACACAGAACAATTCTGCTTTTAATATATCTCACAAATGGCGAAAACATTCGATATCGATTAGTTCTTTCATATCTCTCTCTCTCTCTCTCTCCCTATTTCTCTTTCTCTCCTTTAATATCAGCATTAAATTCCCTAGCATTGCTATTTATTGCGTTCAGTATCACTGCACACGTGTCGTCGACCGCGTCGACTCGCGTTGCAGAAAACTCGATTATCCACGGTGTAAAGATTATTCGCGAATGATATTACACACGGCCGGATCACGTTCGGCGCCGTGATCCTCCGGCGGACCAGCAGACGGACAAAAGATGAAAAAAAATATACACAGAGAGAACATGATTCGCGGCGGTTGCAGCTAGCGCGTTACAATTGCTCGTGTATGTATGCATGTGTGTGTATACGTGTACGTGTCTGTCTGAAAGAAAGTTCGAAGCTGTGCAAAGATACACGAAAAAACAGGCCTAGCTAGACTCGATCGTTCGGTAAAATCACCTAGTCGTTCGCTTCCTTACTCGCCTACGTTTTCTTTTTTTTTTTTATAAATAGTATATTATCAAAAAGATCCATCATCCTGCACCGTCGAAGTAAAAATAAATAGTATTATTTTGTTTACGTTTTACTATTATACCTGTTTGGTAAAGAATTTCATAAACATATATACGTTCTTCGCGCACGAAACAATATAGATATCCCTTAAGTACGAATTAAAAAATATCTTTTTTTTATTTTTTTTAAGTACCATCGCTACGATATAGACGAAAAATCGGGGACCGGAAACGTAATATTGCAGTCGCGCGTACTACTAACTAATTCGTTGCGTGATCTATATATGTATATATAAATCTAATAGGAAATCATAGATAATCGAAGCAATTAATACGGAACGTATTACGACGTAAGAGTGTACCGTTAATGGGACCCCACCACGCGGCCCATAGAAATTCAATAAAAATAACTCGAACTTTACACCATTCGCGTATTCTTAGGACTTATTTAAAGATATTTTGTTTTTTTTTTCTTTATAATCTATACATAGTGCCATCTTTGATTGCCCAGAGACTCTACAATATCCACCATATAAATCTCGTTAGAAAGAAGACCATTGACGGCTGTATTTACGTTATATCTTAGCCTTTAGAAAATAACTAGTAAGTTTGAAAAACCCTGTGAATGCTTTGCAACTGACTACTTTCATTGCATCTCATTTCATCCTTTCTTGTTTCTTTTTTTTCTCTCTCTCTCTTTCGTCGCGTTTCTTCCATTCTCGTTTCGGTTGTGTACATCAGAATGCAAACAGCTGGTGGTTTTGTGTTCGAACGGCATAAACACACATAGAGTCGCGAAATTGCATTCTTTCACCCCCGCTGTACAATACCCTATCCGTAGAAGTATACCCATATAAAATAAAACATATCCAAAAAACGATATATACTCGTATAAAGTATACGATCCACACGCTTCTTTCGTTTCTTTTTTTTTTGTTCTTTCTTCTCATTTTATCCTAGGGCAGGATTCTTACTGTACAAACTATTACAGTTTCTTATTGAGCACATTTTAGAAATTGTTTGAGTCGTTGTAGGAAGTGTTCGATTATTGACTTCATTTCGACTATACGCTAGAACCTAGACGCGTCACGAGAAAAAACATCGGAAAGTCTGAGTGGTCTCATTTGATTGTGCGGAGTCACGTGTATGTGTGTGTGAGAGAGAAGAAGACATCGTGGTTGCGATAGGCGTTAAAGGAAATCAGAAGAGACGACTCTGCCGTGGCTCATTTGTGGTCCTCGGATCGTGGACCGTTTCGGATCTCTTTCCGCCTATCCTCAGTCTGACGGAACGACCGTATAATATGATTCAATGCGTGGAGTTCGATATAAATGCACCGCCTCCGAATGAAGCGTGCTCGGGCGGCAAGTGCTAGGATACCCGCGTATAGTGTGAAACGGTCATGATGCCCCAAGTTTATCATTTCTACGTGAATACTCTTACTGATTTTTGTTTGGAATTCCTAGGAACTTCAAGTTTTCCTCCTCTCTTCCCAAACAATCCTTGCCGTGTCTTAAGCTTCCTGAAAGAAACAGGCCGGGATACGTGAATGCACGCACAGCCGCCGCCGCGAGAGCGATTATATTCGAAGCCTCGACTCCTATCATTTCTCACTTACATCGGGAAACAAAAAGTGTTCGCGAGTCGGTTGCGGTTGTTCGAACGGAGAGCTGCTCATGTATCCGGGCGACGGGGACTCGCTTTTCTCGAGCACCGGAGTAATATTCGCGTAATTCGCGGCCGGGGTTGTCAACGTTCTTCCTTGCTCGACAAGAATACTTCTGTCGATCTTGTAATACTCTTTTCCGCTTCGCGGACGAAGCGTCGTTGCCACTGCTCTGCCACCCAGTCTGGAGAACGGAACCAAAAAAGAAAAAACCAAAAAGGAAAAGTTTAATTACCGGAACCAAACAACTTGAACTATAAAGAGGTAAAATGTAAGAAATACGTTACCTCAGACTGTCTGGCGTATCGGACGACGAGTGGGACGACAACGACAAGGTCTCGATGTAATCGGACATATCGGAGGTGCCGCTGCTGGTGCTTCGCGAGTCGATGTAAGGTGCGCCGGACACTTCTCCCGGACTGTTGAACCCTTTCGTACCCTTTGGCAGACACGTGGGTATGTCAGCTTCCGCCGACGAGGATTTCGTGGGTATCTTGATCTTCTGGAACTGGAACGACAGTTCCCGTAGTGGATCGCTGGACTTTGACTTCCTTGGCAGACTGCTGTGGTAACAGGTGGGCGGTGGACTCTTCCGATAGATCGACAAAACGTTCTGCTTCGTTCCAGATGTCGACGGCGCTAAGGACAGCTCGAACTCGACGAATTCGGCTGTCCGATGACTGAGGGACCCGGTCGAGACGCCCGAATCGTTGCTACTGGAAGAGTCTCGGTTGTGACCGGTCTTGGATGGCACCGAAGAGGATCGTCGTATCTTGATGAAAGATGGTTGCGGCGAGGCTATCGAGATCTGTCCGCTGTCCTGGTTCATTTTTATCTCGGAATTCACACAGGTCACGTGAGCGTCCCCTTGGACCAGGGTGGCCTTGTCCGCCTCGCTGGAACACTTGTGGATCGTTAAAGTCGACGGGAACGTGTGGTTCTCGTCGTCCAGATAGTGAGCGGACTCCGCCGAGTAGGATCGTTTCCTCAAGAGTAGGCTAATGTTTCCGCTGGACTCGGCACCGTTTCCATCCAAGTAACGACGTTTCAGATACGGACTAGACAACATGGCTGAACCAGGAACACGGAACTCGGAGTCGGATCTCTTCTTTCCGCTCTCGGCCATCGCTGACCCGGACAATGCGGGATTACTCGAGCTTTTTATACCGCTGCAGATTCTCGACAGAATCTCCTTGGAACAGGCGTTATGCGCCGGCTGCATGGGCAGGTAACCGGGGAACGGTTTTTTTGACGTTTGCTTCTCGGGATCCATCACGAGATAATCGTTTTCTCGGTCTTTCACGTGACCGCATTTCTGGCATATCTTGGTCTCCTCGGTGTTCGCTTCCGGTGTTTCCTCCTTGATCTGATCCGCGAATTTCTCGATCTCCTCCTGTGATATTCCGCTCTTCGTCAATAGATCCTTGCTGTTCTCGTAATGCTCTAAAGATTGCGTGAAGTCGATGTTCGCGTAATTCGTCTGTTTAGCCTCGGGTTGAGTGTCGATCACCGGCTCGACGTTCTCGTAGTTATTGGACTGGTTCTCTTGAAGGCAGTCGCAGTCTTGATTGGTCTTCCCTTCCGTCGTCGCCGACTTGTTCATCCTCTTCGCGGTCGCGTAAATCGCGATTTCCCCGCTCGCGTTCACCACAGGCATCTTGCCCTCCCCTGAGAGTTTCACTGGGTGGACGGCCACCCCCGTCGATTCGATCCCCGCGCCCCGTCTGCAATACGGCAACACAAAGCCAGCCCAGCTCATAACGTTCTGACAGGGACACACGGAGGATCTGGGCGACTGAACGGTGAGCTTCGCCGGACAGCCGCATTGCTGCAACACCACAGCCTGGGGAGTCTGCGGCGTATCGTAATTAGGGTAATTTTTTGGCAGTGCTAGGCATTCTTTGATTTTCCTTGGCGTGTCGTAATACTGATCAGGTTGGGGAGCCTGTTCGAGCAGCATGTGATGGCCCAAGATCGTCTTAGGTATATCGTAATTCTCGTACGGTCCAGCAGCAACAGCCATGCTGGCAGTGTTACGTGTGGTGGCCAGCTGTTGCTGCTGTTTCCGCGAGTGCACGCAAATCTGTTCGTTTGGCAGTGGCATCGGTGGCTTTTTCGCCTTTTTCGTGGCAGTGTTTTGTTGGGACGGTTTCGGTGGTCTCGGCGGCAACGCGCTGGGACTAGGCGACACGCGTTGAACGTTCGCTGTCTGTTGCGAGCTTTTTGTTTGAGAACAATGGCACTCTATCTGCTGCTGGGAGCCGGAGAAATCGCTATCGTGGCTGCTGCTGCTGTACGAGGACAGCGATAACCGATCCAACGTGCGGGGTTGTAAATGACAGCCAAGATTGTTCATCGTTCCGGCGGGACTGCTCATGCTGCTCACGCCGGTGGTCGTCACCAAGGTGGACGATTTAGAGACGGTGCCCAATTTACTGATACAGCTAGCGCATCGCTCTAAAGCGGACGTGCCTTGACGCGTCAACGAACAGCTGCGCCAGTCACCCGGCTGGTCCGGCAATTCGGAGACGGAGATGGTGTCTCTGCTGCTGTAATCCCTGTCAGGCTCGGTTTGCTGTCTGCTCTCCGCGGACGACCAATAGGGGGAGCTCTCGTTCTTGCAGCTGTCGCACTGCTCCTCGTACGTCGACGAGTAAACAGCCGAGGGGAAGAAATCGCTGGCCCTTGTCTCCGAACGGGAAAACTGACGGCGCGGGCTGTCCTGGGCTATTTGCTCTCTGCTAAGCGGCCGCTTTTTCGTCAGCTTTCCCTCGGCCGCCAGTTGCAGCATTTTTACGATGTCCTCGCCTTGATCCGTGATCAACACGTGAAGACCCTCCCCTCGACCGCATCTCGAGCCACCCTCGAAGCAGAATCTCCCTTCCACAACGCCGTAACGACGAAGATGTGCGATCTCCCAGATGCCCACCAATCTGGGTGGTATACCGACGGTGATACAGAAGCGGCGATCTTGAATGTGTAAATGGGCCGGTCCATTCGTCAGCTTCGCCTTCGAGGGCACCGTGGAGATCAGTATCAGGAACTGTTGATCTGCAAAAATTACGGAAGGTCAGGTTTATTATTTCGGGGGGGGGGGGCATTTAACCCACTTTCGAGCACATTGTTCCGGAATACACCGGACTATCGGGTTAATTGACAGAATTTTTATGTTTTCGGTAGTAGGGGGGGACGCACCTTCGCCGAGGTTGTTCGATATCTTCACTTGCCATTGGATCAAACGTTCCCTGGTGTCGAAGGCCAAGACGACGGTAACGTCCTGACATATTATAGCGATCGTGTTTGACTCCTTGTCGAGGGTGAAACCGCTCTGCACACCAAGAAAGTGTTGCAAGCTCAAGGATGCTTTCGTTTGGCCTTGCTTGTAGCGATCCTTGCTATCTCCGTATAGTTGTAAATGGAGACAATCTATAATTTATTCTATCGTCAACATCCGTCCGGGAAAAAATTCGTTTCTTTTATAAATTATTTGATTGGCAACTTCTTTGAAATTTAGACACATCTCGTTGCGTAATAATGTTTAGCAGCTACGTTTAAAAATAGTTCGGTTTCATAAATAAATCAGGTACTTAATTATTTCGTAATTGATTTGTTAGTTAAACAAATTGAACAGTTTAAATGAATTGTACGTTATTTGATTTTCAGTAAAATTAAATATTTTTCATCGTATGTATCGAGGAGACGACAAGCTATTAATACGGTTATCCGGTCGTGGAAAGCGAACGAAATCCAGTTAGACCCTTCAATGTCTGTGCATTTAACTAATTCTCCCTAAGGAAAATTTATGAGGTGCCGGTGTCCCCAAGTTTTAAAATATCCTCAAGTTACAAGGGCCCAGGTATTAATGGTTATTGCCAGAAGCAAAGCTCTTCTTGGAAATTTTTTGTTTCTTCAGGCAGTCAATCTGTAACAGATGTGCCAGCTGCCACCCTAGGAAGGTCCATAGGGAGGGATTCTTTATGCTGATAACAAGGAAATTCTTTTAGGAGATAGGATTAGGAATGTGGTAGGAAATAGAATTGCCTCTCTACAGATTACTGAAAATGTTGCAACATCTGCCCCCCTCCTCCTTTGATAATAAATGCATTTCATAATCAGACCCTTTGTAAATATCAAATACCACATGGATAAGATAAAGTGACTAAAAAGTTCATTATTATGGCATGTGGTGCACACAGTAAATCACTGTGCAGAATGTACATACATTGCACAATCAAGCCAGTGCCTCCATATCTTGGAAATGATATCAAGAACAAAGACACAAGGAAATGCAATGTTTCCTGTTTGCTGACTATGGCTCATTTGATAGACAGTGTTTGTTAATTGTGTAGAGTGCCATAGAATAATATGAAGTTTAGTGAAAAACGTAGAAAATTATATATGTATATATACCTGCAACTGGTGACAATTTCCTCATGACACACCATCGTGATTTCCACTGTAAAGTAAACAAATATATTTTCATAAAGTTCCTATTAGATTTCATTAAGAAGTAGTATCCATTATTGTGCTGTGATGGATAATGTTGTTTGTAGGCTTTGCTAGTAACAACATACAATGTTACAGCCTATGCAAAATACATTATGGTAATTTACATAAAGAGCCATATATACATATGTACACACATGTATTACATACTTGTTTGGATCCAGTTAGACCCCTCTGAACCCCTCCATGATAAAAATAAAAGTTTCCTACCCTTTCTGATCTGAACGACTTCTTTAGTAACCCCAATGTAAATAAAAGAAAATGACCTAGCTTTTTTTATGGCCTCATGCCTCCTCATTTCTTTCCCATTACATTACTTCCTTAAGCTTTCAACAAACTACTCAATCGTTGAAATGGGCATTGAAGTCATATCAAGACACTTTAATTTGACTCCTTGGCCATGATAAAAAAAATAGTTGGGCATTATATTCAAATTTGAATGGGGCCACAGAACATACATATTTGATCTTTCAGTAACATTTAATGAAATATTCAATTAACATCATGTAAGTATCACTAAAGTAAAGTGTTAATGGACTTTCAATTATTGATAACATTCAATTAAAGATAAGAAATTTGAATGTAGTATTTTGAAATAATATAACTAAAGTTTACATCTTCATTTTAGATGTGAAAAAAGTATTATAAACATTGGTATATATTGAACTTCATACTTAAACTAAGAATGTTTATACATCTACAATATTTAGGAAACTTTTCTAAAGATTAATTAAACATTAAATAAACAAAATCTTTAATAAAAATAATAAGTTTCTCTTTAACTTTCTATAATCAGGAACAAATATATAAATCTGAACAAAAAGAAAATGAAGACATTCTGTCCATGTACTGTACACACATGAAAATAGACTCCAATCATTAAATTGATATGCCCCTAATCCTAATTACCATAACTCAGCATAAATCAATTAAGCGTACATTTCCAAGTGTCCTATATACACTACATGTGTATTAAGCGTGCATGTTATTCTAAGTTTCTTACATCATTAAATAATTTCTTTTTTTAGTAAAACCGTACCGTGCTCAAGTGACTCCGAGATAACTATTTGCACGAGCACGAGTTTGGGTCGAATTATGGGCACCGCGAAGCTAGTTGTCGGTGAAAAATGTGTACAGAGAGCACAGAGAATAATTACACCGCTCGATAAATTCACGGGGAAAAATCGGGCGGCATTATTTTGACGGCAACGAGTCGAGCAATTATCCGATTTATGTTAATTGGTTGGCCGGATCCAGGGGAAGGGGAAAGGTGAACGGTAGTTAACAGAAAATTCGATTGAGGCTACTCACTTTTTTGCCGTCGCGAAATTTCACGTTTCCCTCGATAATACAATTGTTATCCACCATTGTAGAAGGCCGCTGCTGCTACACTGCTTTTAGGTGTTTTTCTCATCACTATGTGAAACTACTCCGGTTACTCAACGCTGCATACCGGGACACTGTAGAGGCACAATGCTCATAACACCGCGAACAACGGCATTTCCCGGCCCACCAACTTTTTCCACACAGAGTAACAACCGCGGTTTCTAATTTCACGAATTACGCGGCAAAATCCATACTACATCCCGTCCGCGGCGAGCATCCATCTTGACAATCTTGGCTTGCTGCGTGCACTGCTCTGCGGTCCTGCTCCCTTTCGAGAGCGTATTCTGCACATTATCCATTCCCCTGCACTTCGAGCCAGTGGCGTAACACCCAGCATTTTTTACACCCACGATACTCACACTGGGGGCGCCTATGTAGCTCAATGGTACCGTTTACAACGCCGTGACGCGCTTCGCGCTTTCCATTTGAATCTTATTCCCTTCAATAACGGTATATACTTTTTTTCATTTACCTGTGAGATAACTTGAAATATTTATGATAAACAATTATAAAAAAAGAATAGAAATGCTATTTTTTGAGTAATAACGAATTGTATTTCTTGACAAAATATGAATTACATACAATGTTTAGCAATATTTTCTCCGATACGTAGATACAGAAACGTATATGTTAAGTTGTAAATATTTTTTTGTTACTTTCCATGACGGAATGAACAATTGGATTTTCAACACCGACGAGATATGGAATTGGATCATCTTCTGTGTTTTTCTAATTAGTAAACAATTTTGGTCGTTAGATGACGATACCATGGAAGAACTTACGTTTATGTATCGATATGGTTTAGCTATTAGTTTGAATTCTTTGCCACGGATGGCGTCACCGATCATAGTTATAATTTTTTATAAAGCAGTTGTTTCTTATCGTTCATTATCGACAGAATGGCCACATACTGCACGTGGTCTACCAAGTTGCCATTGATTGCCATGTGTTTATAAGGAAAGTTAACCTATGTCAACATTTGAGTTTATACTTTATGCATGATGAATACACCAACATTGACGAAACAACAGCAGAAACACAGCTTGTCCGCGAAGAAAGCCCCTGCCAAAGGATTACGAAATGTCCTAGCACAACCCCAAGACAGTTTCTGGTAAAGATCATATTCCTTTTCTCATGAAATTGATGCCCTTACCTTCTAAAGAATATATGTATATTATGTAAATATTTATTCGTTATTTACATTTGGTAGGCCAGTTATAAAAGGGGATGAATCTTCACAACTGGAAGGTTTGTTGAAGAAGTAAGTTGTCAGTATTATTAATGTTGTATAGTAATTATAGCATGATACAGTTTGTGATTGATACTTGTAGATTAATGCCAGCCATAAGACGTCCATCTCATGTGATTCCATGGTCTCAATTGAGACAGTTGAAAAAAGAAGAACGTATTAAAGCTAAAAAAGAAGCAGTTCAAAAAGAAGGAAATATTCCTAATACACAGACAATGTAAATATCCTTATTAGAGATAATAGATGGATTTACAAGCTTCTGTAATAATTATGCTTTTAGAAATTCAATTGTGTTGGGTCTAAATGCAATTACAAGAGCTCTGGAAAAGAATAGTGTTTGTTGTGTTTTAATCGATGCCAGTATTGAACCACACCTGCTGATCAAACACATTATTATTATGGCACAAAATAAAAAAATACCAATATTGCTCTTATTTAATTTTAAAGTTGTTACACTGAATAGCATTGGATTTGCCTCTGCTGCTTGTGCTCTTAAGGTAGAAACATTTAGTTATCTAAGTTTATTCTATATTATTTATACAATTTGAATTTCAGAATGTTGTAATGAAGTCATCAGAACATCATTTCCATCCACTTTATACAAAAGTATGTGATATATTTAAAGATATACCATTACCAAAAAACTCACTTAAATTATTTAAAGACGTTGAAACAGTAGAGGAGATTGCATTGTGTGAAAAAGACAAAATGAATTTTGCAAGAGAACCAGAGATTAAATCTTCAGAATCAATTAAGTTTACATTATCCACAAATGTATATAAGTATAGATCTACACGTAATGAAAGAGCATTTGTTCCACCAAGTGCAACAGCGAGTTCCATTAATGGGTCCACCACAGAAAAAATAGAGCCATGTGACTTTATTTCTTTAAGTAATAGTGACACTGATGAATATGTTGTGAATATTAAGAAAAATGCAAGGTATATCAATATTCGCAAAGACTCAGATGCTTGGAAACAAAAAAATTTCGAACACAATAACCAATCTTCAAATATTACTTATCTGCCATTAAGAGTAAAACGTTTGCAAGGTAACAGTAATCGCTTGAAAGCTACAAAAGTATCAAAACAAAAGAAAAAGTAGCAAAGGTGTTCAGTATTAATATTTATTCCTCACAAGTAGGAGTTTGTCGATTTTTATTTTAAATTACAATAGATACGAAACATGTAAATACAATTGTACAAACTCTTAAACTATTATCATTTATATACATGTACAGTAATGTAAGAATAAACAATGTAATTTTTTATACATATGAATACAATATATACAAAAATTATATATATAATTGAATTCAATGAGTACTTCTGTACTTGAAATTTATTCCATCTAATACATTCTGATTATATAGAGATTCAGTCTTTTACAGATATATTATTGTTAAAATCATGTTAGAATATGGTTACCAACAGGTTGTTTACTTATATATAAAATCTCTGTATTTTGTAAATGGTAAATTGAACATACAATATTAATTTCACACATATGTATTCGATGTCTAAACAACTATAATATCATACAGGTAATGTAGAGTTCACAGAGGATTTGAACATTCTTGTGAAAAACATTAAGCCTTTAGTTCCTCCAGGTATGTGACTTACTAGGAATGACAACATAGCTATTAATTGTAAAACAGCACATAGTACTGTCAAAGGAGTAGACTGTAAATGTAGAGCGAAATAAAGTGTTCCTATTAATGTAGCAAAATAGGACCCTGTGAAACACCTTCTTTCAGCAGTGAATAACGATTTCAGGTAACTTAATGGACCCAAGAGGAAGCAAAAACTACAAAATACATTCAACCAGGATTAGTCGAATGCGTGGTATTTTATATTAAAACAGTCGATTTACGTTTATTTTGCACTTACCTGGATAGAAAGAATACACTTCCTAATGTATACAGAAGCGCAAACTTTCTCGCTTTAAGTAATAAAACCGGAATATACATTGCTGACAAACAGAAACACAGCACGCCCATGGCGAAACATACAACGAATGCTACCAGCCTTTGAATCCGTGTCTGTTACGAAGGAATAGAACTCCTTAACATCAGTTTATAATATTTGACATTCGAGGTTATGTACGTAGCACTCACCATACTAGGACAACATTCCTTTTGTGCACCTTGTATCCACCCCGTCTCTTCTCTCTCGTCATCACCGTTTTTTCCGAACCATTTCCCAATGTTTGTTTTCGGTAGTGCCATTGATGGTACCGTAATTTTGAATTGCTTTTCATTTTTACTGCTAAGCAGATATTCATTCAGTTCTTTGTTAAGATCAGCCATTTTGACACGTCGCCATACTGTATGTTTACAGCAGTGATGGGCAACCGGGTCCACTTGGGTATACCGGCATGCTGCCCGTACGGGCAAGTGGCGGGCAGCCGCGGGCTCCTGTACTCGGTGACCTGAGTGACATGAGTTACCAGAATGACCTGAGTCAGCTGACGATAAGATGCTCAAACTAACGATAAAAAAATGGGATGCTCAAAGTAGTGATCAATATTATTGACATTATGGAACATTTTTTTGTCTGCAGCCAATTTTGAAACGAACTACGTGTCATTTTGGCATACCCAGATGTTTATAACTGGTGATGAATGAATTGTTACTGTCAGTCTTGTTTTCTCAAAAGTGAATGATAAATAATAATAATAAATCGAAGAGATCGCTGCCGCATGTGGCACACGGATTCTCCTCTGTCCGTGCGTTGTAAACGTATTAAAAAAAAGATATTCTCACTTTATATAAAGTAGGCTTGGGTACTTTTGATTTGAAATGAAAACTACAAATAAAAAGAGCCAATATTTATTCCAAATAAAATAACAGATAAGTTTATTTGAAAACAAGGATGTATGCAAATAAATTCCAAAATCTTATTTCAGAAATAAATTATTTCTAAATGATTTATTTGCCAAATATTTGGTTATTTAAAATAATAATGCAAAATGAAAAATAATAGATTTTCGTATATTGTTTGCTTAAATTAATGGGACAGTACGTAGATATACGTGTTCGTAAGAGCATATTAAAAGTAATTAGTTTTTTGTACGCGAACACAAATTCCGACAAATCCGACCCCGAACCTGCACAAGCTCGGTGAAATCGGTATGAAACACTTCGTAGGTTTATTTTTATTTTATTACTAATAATTCTATGGTATATGTATATTGCATATATTTGTAGCATCCTGAAAACGGGTATTAACGAGCCATTCGACGTCGAAACGCACAGAAATGCGGTCTTAATAACCGATTTTTTTCGAATTTGCAGCATTTGTTGATAACTAAATAAACGAAACTAAATTGTGTAAAATTTTAGGTTCTACTCTTGAACCGTTTCCGAGAATTTTCCTTCCGGGAATGCCTTACCGTAATGAACCTTCTCGTGGCCGCGGGATTCCGAGAATCGAGTGACGTCACGGCGTGCGAGCGAGAGCGGTAGAGCGAGCCGCGGTATCGGTGCTCTCCGTCGGTGTGATGCGTGCCGAGGAATTTCGGTGGTCTATGGGGGGAGGTGTGCGAGCGAGAGAGTACGGTAGAGCGTGCCGAGTATCGGTGCTCTCCGTCGATCCAACGCGCTAGTGAGTTGCGTCACCCAGTTTATTGACTTAGCCGTGTACGCCGTGTACCAAGGTCGTACCATCCCGTGCAGG